TATAGATCTGTATGTAAATTCTAAAAGGGGGTTCCCTTTACGTAGCATGAATGAGAGAATTAAAAGAAATAAATCTGTGTGTAAAATCTAAAAGGGGGTTCCATATACTTAAGTATGAATGAGTGAATAAAAGGAAATAAATCTGTATATGAAATCTACAAGGGGGTTCCATATACGTAGCATGAATGATTGAATAAAACGAAATAAATCTGCATATGAAATCTAAAAGGGGGTTCCCTATACGGAAAAGTTAGTGTTTCATTTTGGCGATACATTGAAGTACATTGCAGGTGCTATTTTTATGGTTATCCATTAAAATATCGTTCCTTATGGATACAAAAATAATTTTCTGCCACATTTATTGTCACTGTTTTTCATTTGCCCGGGTATTATTGACAGTTAAATTTATCAAATGTACTATCACAAAAATCAACTATACCTAAACATATTTAACTATATTCAAACCAAGGCGTCTTTATATCTTGACTTTTGTTTTCTTTTACCTTTGATATATACTTATTAATACTGAGCTATTGTAGAAACGGTATGACTGAGAATTAATATATTCATAATAAAAGAGATGTATCTGACCGGTTTAGAAATTATCTTCATGTATTTCGGACGAAGATAAATACGAAACCGGTCAAATACATGTCTTGTATTATGAAGATATTCATTCTCATTCATACCTTTTCTACATCTGTCAACATGAATCCGGTTTATACAGATCCCAGTATCCATATCCATACAACTCTTACCCTGAGGGATGTGCATGATGGCAATAGTCACTCCGGCAATGAGGTCACCGATGAAATGTTCCCTGAAGTTGTACGCCGGCAGCCACGACAGGACGGGCACGCGGGCGGTGATGGCGGACGTCAGGCAACCGCGCGAGAAGTTGCATGACTTCGCCAACTTCGTCTGGATCGCCTCCTTCAGCCCTGTGCAGGATTCGCGAAGTTTAGCGATGATTACGGTGAACCCTCGTTTTTCGCGAGGGTTACGTTCCAAAAAGAACCCGTGATAGGCGAAATCCGTGAAGTAGTAACTTATTTTTTTACAATTATTATACAATGAAATACTCTACAATACATTGAAACCAAAGAACAAAACCTTTTTACAGGCCCAAGCATTTGTTTAACAAATAAAAGTACTGTATAAACGTTTTTTACAAATAACTACTGTACTGTAAAATAATAATTTTAATTATCAATACGAACTGAAGGCTTCATGGGTTTTAGAGAAAATTTGCAAACTTAAATTTGGCAAGCTGTTTTACGTACATGTACATATTAAACCGTAACGTTATTGACACACAGGTAGAGAAGAAGCGGAGAGACTGTTTAGCCAATCAGAATGCAGAACACAATGCACAATGCAAATCCGTGAAGCAGCGAGAACGTGAAAGGTGAACCGCGTTATAGCGAGGGTTCACTGTATTTCTATTCATTAACATACACACGTCAGTTTCACGTGCATGGAATAAAGCGCATTGTGATTGGTTCACGTGTGAAGCCCGCGAGGCGCTCTGATTGGCTCTGATGACATAGGTTCCGTACTGGGGTAAAGATGGCCAACAGCCGTGAAGGAGACATAGGATTAGTCTTCACGTGCGGGGAATTTACATTTGTTTTCGCGTTTGTAAAGCAACTTCCACAGACCGCGGGAAGTATAGGGGGGGGGGGGGGGGTCAGATGTACCTCCCCAGGCAAGGTCGTCGTTAACGAGACACGTTTTACTACCGCATTTCCTTGAACTCTCTTGCTCAATCTATGCGCGTTGGGCTAAAAGGCATCATGCAACATCTCGCAGGCGGACATATTGTTCTATAATTTCCCATCTTAAAAACTTTCCCCCGCCTAAAAATAGTAGGAAATGATGAAGAGAAAAAACGAAAATATTGACTCGAGGTGAAGTTGCACGACGGTGAAAGACCGTAAGAGTTAGTTTTTTTTTTTCAAACTGAACTGAACTGGCGGCAGGGAAGGGATGCCGGCTAGCGCTTGGGTGCCCATGGACGCGTCTGGCAACATTGAAGGATTATATCTGCAATCGCGATAATTGGATGGAAATAAGATACCATGGATACAGGAATACCAAACGATAAATGCACAAATTAAAAGAAGAAATATAAAAAAACGATAAAGAAAGGAAATGAACGGAAGCAGAAGGCGCCGAAGGAAGCCGCAGGGCCTCACCTGGAGTGTGGCCGGGGTCGAAGTGGTAATTCTGGTTGCGTTGGGCGACGTTGAGGGTGGGGCGCATCACGAACAGTTCTCCCGACGGACTCCCTCCTCCTCCTCCTCCCCCGCCTTCGTTCTCGCCCATCTTCGGCGAAACCACCGTCGTCCCTGACTCGCTGCGGAAGGAAGAAGTTTGGTCAGTCTCTTTTTCTTTCTCTCTCTCTCTCTCTCTTTTTGTTTTTTTGTTTGTTTTTTTGTTCCCAAGACGCGTTGACCTTTGCCAGGGCGCTTAGGAAAATAGTGGTCTTAATATCATTTGCTGTACTCCGTGGCCGAGCTGGCATGTTCACCTTGCATGTATATTGACAGACGCTGTAAAAGGCAACACTTGGGTAGTGAAAGCCTCGATACATGGAACTGGATGGACAGTGTTAGTAGAATATGTACGGCTTGACTCTTTATTGTTAAAAGAGCACAGCACACAAAGAAATAAACACACGATACGGGAGTCTGGGGACAAGCACTGAAGCGGCGGCGTGCCAGTCGTGAGGGTACGGTGACCAGGCACGTTCAAACGGCCATCCTGGGTCAACCATAATTGTCATTTTGGTCCCCGCCGCGACGCTGGCTTTGGGACCGACATGGAACCCACTTGGAACCTAACTTGCTTGGTTTATATGGCTGCGATTTTACAAGCTTATTTGCTTATTTACTCGCCATATTGCTCAGTCACGTACTCACGCCTTGCCCTTTGATTTGCCTTGGGGAGTATATACGCCATATACCCCTCTTTTTATCTAGCGTAGATACACATCTTCAGAAACGTTTTCTGTAAATGCAAATGAATTAAAAGTAGATATTGCATTTTTTGGGGGAATCGGTGTTGCCGTATGAAAATGGGAATGGAAATCTAAAAGAATATATACGGTACATTTTCTTATGCGACTGGAGTAGAAGTAATAGTATTGATACCAATTTTAGTAATACTAGTAGCAGTGTTAATATATTATTATTAATAGTAGTAGTAGTAGTAAAAGTAGTAGTAGTAGTAGTAGTAACAGTAGTAGTAGTAATAATAGTATAGTAATAGTAGTTGTAGCAGAAGTAGAAGTAGAAGAAGTAGAGTAGTAGTAAAGTAGTCGTAATAGTTAGTACTAGTAGTAATAGTACTAGTAATAGTAATAGTAGTGGTAACAGTAGTAGGAATGGTATTTTTTTGTAATGCTACTAGTAATACCATTGTGTTACCATTATTATTAGGAAAGCTAACAATGACAAAAAATATATTTATGGTTTAGGTAATATGTTTTAGATCATAATGATGTTAATATAATAACGATGATGATAATGAATAAAATAATAAATAATAATATAATAATAATGATAATGATATAATCATAATAAGGATAATGATAATAAAAATGAAAATAATAATGATATTGAAAATGATAATAGTAATAATAAAAATGATAAAAACAATAATGATAGTTATAATGACAATTATACTTATGATAATAATGATGATGATAATAAGAAAAATAACATTGATATAATAATAATAATAATAATAATAACAATAATAATAATAATAATGCTAATAACATAGATAATAACAATAGTAATAATAATAATAGTAATAATAGTGATGATGATGATGTACTACTTACTACTACTAAATAATGATAATAATAATAACAATGATAATAAAAAATATATAAAAAAATAATAACAATAATAATAACAACAACAGCGACAACAACAATAATGATAATAATAATAATATTAACAATTATAATGATAATGATAATAATAATAATAATAATAAAATATAATAATAATATAATAATATAATAATAATAATAACAATAATAGTAATAGCAATAACAATAATAATGATGACAATAACTAATAATAATAATAAATTAAAATGCAACAATGATGATGATAGATGATGATGATGATGATGATATAAGTAGATAATGATAATATAAAAATAAAAAATAATATGATTATAAAATAAATAATAATAAGGATGATAATATAATAATAATAATAAAAAAAACTAATAACTAATATAATAATAATATATACGATAATAATGAAATAAATGATAATAATAATGAATGATGATAAATAATAAAAAATTGCAGATATGTAAACATGGCCTCTTATTTGAAATTCACTCAATTTCATCATTATATCTAATATTCCATTGCAATCTGCAGTTAATTTCTATCCGGATTTTTAAGCTATTTCTATATTTTATCTAGTATTCAAAGTCAACCGTTTTCTCTGAACACTGTAATTTGAACAACTTGAACTTTCGCTAAGTAGACGAGCCTGTTCAGCAATACAATAGAAAATTGTATGTTTGGAAGGTGCCGCTCTAAAATTTACTGTCTGTGGTTCAGCCAGTTCGTTTACATATACATGAGTACTTGTGTGAATGTTGTGTGTGTGTGTGTGTGGTTTGTGTGTGTGTGTGTGTGTGTGTGTTTGTGTGTGTGTTTGTGTGTGTGTGTCTGTGTTTGTGTGTGTGTGTGCTAGATAAACTATAACACCATTATTATAAACAGCAACACCAGTATCACTAGCACCATTAAGAGGCAACACCGATGTTCGTCTGTACCGCCCACTAAAGACAATAAAGTTACCAAGAAGACTTCACCACCCACCTCACAACACGAAGAATTATTTAACGTCTCTATTACACAGTGAAGTTTCCGACAATGGTTGTATATAAGAGCCAAAAACATAAAACTGTCATCTTTTGGAATTTGTTTAGGCTCGTATCTCCCTCGCTAAAATCGCCTACTCTCCCTTTCTTTTTCGACTCTCTCCAGTGTGTCCTGGAACTTAGAAGCGGGTCCAGGTCTGTGATAAAAGCTGATAATTCATCGCATTCTTGATTAATTTGTTGTTCTTTTCGGGAAAAATGATAAAGCTGCATCAGGCCTTTTATGAAATGGACGGGATCACGGCACAGATCAACTCTATAATTATGACAATATAATTTTATGGAACAACAATGAATTTTTTTTTTTTTTTTTTGTACTCTCGTCGAAAGAGATAAGTTTCCACTATCTCCACGGAGTAAAAGATAACAAGAATACATATTTCTCACTGGCGTAATTATACCTGTCAATCAGTGCCCTTGCGACCATTTACTCGAGAACAATTCGAATGACGTTTATAGCAATACTCCAATAGGTTTCGAAAGTGAATTTATGACACCCAAAACAAATAAAATAAAAATAGATAAATCCGAGTCCTCGCTCATCATAAACATATTTGTTGCACGTCACTCTCCTCTCCCACCTCACTCACACGCCCAGCACAACGAGCGCCTTATCAGCCAGGAAGGTGGCGGACGACATGCGCGAGGAGCCTCCGCGATGAAGGTTCAACGTCCTGTCAGCGGAAAATTTATATGGAAGATAATGTGTTTCTTGAATGGCGATATATCATCTTATGATAAAATGATAGAAGGCAGTGGGGAAGCAATTTTCTATGTTTTAAAAACACGCTTTTTTCTTCTGATATTTTTTTCTAAGGGTGAAATGCAAATGATGCAGTAATTAATTCCATGAAATATCAACGTTCTTTCGTATCTGTATAATACTCCAATAACAGACTTACAGTTTGATAACTTTGCTAATTTAAGATTTGTCTGCTAAAGAAATTCCATCTAAGGGAGTTCTATATAACAACATTATACATTCCACTCTCGTTTGTTTTAACACATCAGAAGTTGTCAAATACCAATTACTCCATGCTTTACACGTAGCAGCATTCATACCTTTTAAAAACTCTAATATGAACAATTTAGCGCGGCCCATCAGCGGTACACCTTGACCTATCGCAATGGAGGCTCAGCGAATCCTGACGACCAACGCGGAGAATCGCAGACGCGGGAAGCAGACGCGGTACCTCGGGAGCTTTCATTTACGTTCGGAGCGCCGCGGGGGTCGGAAGGCTTCGCTCGCACGCCGCTTCGAACAAACCCCTTCGTGCGCGCCTTCTAAATGTTGCTCGAGAGATGCGGTCGTGTGTGTTTGTTTGTCGTGCTGACTTCCTAGGTCGTTTATAAGAGCGTGGTCGCTATTTACATTTTTTCATGTCTTTAAAAGAGCGCGAAGGGCAAAGGTTGATGGAACAGTTTTCATACCGGAAATACCTGCTGGTGTGTAAAATTGTCATTTTTTAAAATTATTCTTGACTATATCTTTTACAAACCCCTTTAGTGAAGCTTATCCTATTTTTTCGAATTAATAAAAAACTAAGCAAACCAAGGAAATCAATTTAAAAAAACTAAATAAAAAAATTCCCTACCTTAAGAAAGCCTCTTGTGTCTCTTCATCCAATGTATCGTCCTTCATCCCCATCCTGGAAGTAAATAAAAGCCCTCAGAGAGCGCAAGCCTCTTCCAGGCCCACTGTTCCCTATTTCGCAAGAGAGAAAGATAGCTAGCTAGCTATCTAGCTAGATAGCTATATAGCTATATAGCTATATAGCTAGATAGCTAGAGAGAGAGAGAGAGAGAGAGAGAGAGAGAGAGAGAGAGAGAGAGAGAGAGAGAGAGAGAGAGAGAGAGAGAGAGAGAGAGAGAGAGAGAGAGCTCAGTTCCAAGACACAGAAGTCCACCACAAGTTTAGCAGGCAGGAGACCCCTTTACGACTATATGATAAGCATGCCCATATGGATTCTAGTATTTATCCTAAACAATATCTACATAGAAACGAATGATAATAACAGGTAGTATAAACAAAATTACAATTACAAAAGGAGGTGACAAAGTGGACGAGAGACCCCATAGAAATAAAACACATCTGTACTCATTATTCCTTGCTTTACTATAATGAATGACCTTTCACTAGCATGGTAAACAAGGAAATTGACGCGATGAATCCCTACCAAGATCTAATTAATCAGTCATTGTTGCATGGGTATCCTCTAGACATGTTATCACTACAATCCGTCACTAACTTTTTTTTATAACTCTGGTGACCTAGTACCAAAAAGAAGAGAAATTATAAAGTATTGACAAAAAAGCTCTGCGAGAATGTAAGCCTCCACCAGCACAGAAAAAATCCAATTTCAAGTCATCAAAAAAATTTGAAAAGAAAATTAATTTCCTGGCACCGCATCCATACTTCTTTTCTATTCCTCACCATGAACATTTTCTGTGCGGCTGGTTACTTGCTTTGTTGCTCTTTGATCTCTTCGTCATCGCTTTATCTTGCTTAAAAACAAAAGTTAATTTCCAGCTTAAGTCGTATGTACAAATCTGTAGAAAGAAATAATGGTGTTACCCGTA